ACTTAGTTAATTAATTAATAATAATGTGAATTTAGTTAATTTATATAATTATTAAAAGAATATTAATACCTTATTAATTAATAATAATATAAAGTTAATTAATTTATATACACACCCCGCCAGGGGCTGCCGCCCCTTGGACCCCGCCACCCGGGGTCGCTGCCCCCGGACCCCTTCTGTTAGGAGCTTCGTCCCTAAATCAAAATAAACTCAAACAAGTGTGCACTCCGCACCTGTCTTACCTGTTCAATATTTATCATGATTACATTGGTCATTAATTTAATCTATTACACTTAAATGACATTAGTGATACAAATCATCAACATGAAGTCATCAGATATTGGTTTTTTTTCAGACTTACAACATAACTCTGAATTGTTCTGTTCCAAATTTAGTTATATAGTTTATTCACAGACTTAGAATACAACTCTAAACTCCTCTTCAGAGTTACGTTTATGAGTTATAAGAAATCAAAATTCTTGTGACTCAGAGTTATGCTCGTAGATACTTTCTAGACTTAGAAGACAACTATGAATTCCTCTTATTCAGAGTTAAGTCTAGAGTTATTTTCCAGTCTAACAATAAAATTCCGAGTTCTTGTGTTTCAGAGTTAATGTCCAGAGTTTTTCTCATTTAATAAGAGCCAAGGACAATCATTATCAAAAGTTGGTTTATTTCTAAGATAACGGAAAATTTATACAAACTTGTAGCATTGGCTAATTTTAGCAATTAACTCTTGAAAAGAACTTCACACTTGTAGCCAGATTGGTCGTCTTGATTTAGAAGTCTTGCAACGCTAGATATTGTCCGTCGTGAACTCTGGAGGATTTCTTAGCCCTTGTGTTTGTCAAGCCTGATTTGTCCTTCATACAGAGCTTAACAGAGGTTCTGCACGTGCTATGCGGTCAATCTGAACCAGACTCCGTGTTTCATGCAGAGCTGCATAGAGGTTCTGTATTTAAGTCTTGAGAAAGAGCTTTGTCTCTTCACGTAATTCGTCGAGGCTCTGTCTCCTACTCCGAAGATGGCCTTCAGACTTGTAACTCTGAATAGTTTCCATCTTAATCTTTGGAAACTTTCTTTACTCTTGTGTCCTTGAAGCCTGATTCCGTTCTTCATACAGAGCTTAACAGAGATTCTACAAGTGCTACGGGGTCATTCTGACCCTACCTCCGTCCTTCACACAGAGCTTCATAAAGGCTTTGTACTTGTCTTGAATAAGAGTTCTATCTCTGCATGTACTACCCAGAGCCTCTGATTCCCTTTGCTTGTCTCATACAGAGGTATACAAAGGCTCTGCATGTACTACGCAGCGCTGCATATTGGATCTATATTGTTCGTCTTCATTTAGAAGTTTTTCTGATCATCGAAGCACATGCCGTCCTTTGTATATGTAACATTTAATTCTCGAGTAAGAGTATTTTTATATCAAAAATTTAATCGGACTTGTACTTTTGTCTAAGTTTATAAATTACCTCCGATTATTAATTCTTTATAAAATACATATCAGTTTCGTTTAATTTTTGTCATTAACCTGTGTAATACACGGGTCCAAACCTAGTATATATATATATATATATATATATATATATATATATGGAAGGGTTTAAACGAGAACCTCTGTAATTTACGAGAACGCGAGAACAATCTCTAAGTCAAACATTATGTTTTAATTCACAATTTAAGACATGTTATGGTATTTTTTAAATTTAAATTAATATCCAAAATTTTCTAAAAATATTAAACACGTTGAAGGGTAAAAATGGAAAAAGAAAACGCAAATCACATAACACGAACAACCAGTGTCGATAATCGTGGAGGTGATAAGCTTAGTTGTTCGACATCATGATGACATGAGTCTATAACAGAAGAATAGTAGGCAAAATGGACATTGGAGGCAGCAAGAAAGAATACATATCGTCGGCTAAGAAAATGTATGACATATGTATCACATATTTATCACATTTGTTAGATAGAATTATTAGGACAAAATCGAAGTATCACATCCTTATCACACAACTTCCTATCAATGATTGTATTCAATAACTGATTTGGTGTGATATCACGTATTTATCACACTTGTTAGATAGAAGTATTAGGCCCAAATCGAATGTGAGAATACGTTAAATCGTCGATATTGTTGTAGTATCACATAGTTATCACATAGATAGAAATATTACAGCAAAATCAAGTAACACATCTTTATCACATTACCTCTATTTTGAATCACTGGTTGTATTGAATTACTGATTTGGTGTGATATCACGTATTTATCACACTTATTAGAAAGAATTATTAGGGCAAAATCTAAGGTGGAAATATGTTAAACCGTCTTTATTGTTGTGGTATCACGTATTTATCACATTGCTATCACGGTTAACACATCGAGCAGGAGAAGTTGAGTGGCTATCACATTGCTATCACACCTTTGTTATAACACCATTCTTATCACAATTGTCATCACAATTATCACATTTGGATTACAAATATTGAATGTATATTACATTGCTATTAGAGTTGGTGAATCGATTAACAAAAGTTGATTAAGTATCACATGATTATCACAAGTAATGTTTCAAATCGATATGTAGAAGTTGATGGATAATCACATTGTTATCACAGTTAACACTTCAAGTCGAGTAAGATGATTGGATATCACATTACTATCACAGATGCCACTTCGAGTCGAGCAAGATGATTGAATCTATTAGAATAAACGATCAAAGACGTGATCAGATATGGATCGAAAATCATGAGATAATTACAATTAATCAAAATAATATTAAAATGATAGAAAATACATAATTACATAACCACCCTTAATGACTTACTTTTATTTAGTATAATTTGAATTATTGGTTAATAAAGTTTGAGGCTCACAACCGTTCTTGCGTTTTCGCAAAACAAAGGGTTCTCGTTTGAACTTCTACCCCTCTCTCTCTATATATATGTGTGTATGTGTGTTTTGGGAGACTGGAGAGTAAAAAAACACAATTAGAAGATTTTCACACAAATAAATTCAAACCCATTTCAAAACAAATCTGAAAACAAGAACAAAGACCTAACATCATCATACCATTCACCATGCATGTACAACCATCATATCATCACCCTAACAAACAAACACACCACTGGAAATGGAATCAAAAACAAGATTTACAAACTACTAGTTGCATGTTGCATAATAATAATAATATTAATATTATTATTATTATTATTATTATTATTATTATTATTATTATTAATATTATTTATTAATATATTTTATTATATTCATCTCACCCGGCAAGCAGTAGGGGTTCCTGGAGAACAGTTGGGGTTTGCAGATCGGCAGCCAGCACCAGCTCCTACGCTTTGAACAAACTTGTGATGCATCTGGTAAGCCGGACGTCCCACCCCCACCCCCATTATCGAAGACGATAAAGACACTTCGTTTCCACTGCTGCTGCTGCTGCTTTGTAGAGGCTCTAAGGTCTCAACAACATCGCTCATTAGCGGTCTTGCTTTTGGATTCTGGCTTAAGCAGTAGTACGCTAAGCTGCAAGCTTTCTGAGCTCCCCTCACTGAATACTGGCTTTCCAATCTCGGGTCTACAATTTGCAGCAGTTTCCTTTTGTCGTTCAGTTTTGGCCGAGCCCAGTCCACCAGGCTCTGTTCCTTGCTTGGTCTCGTCTTGTCCACCGACTTCTTTCCAGTCAACAACTCCAGAAGAACGACTCCAAAGCTGTATACATCACTTCTTGCTGTAAGATGTCCTGCTCAGTGCATCATCACAATCATTCAGATAAGCAGAAAAGTGAACATGAATCTATTCTAAGAGAAGTCAAAAAACACACACACTGCCCAATAGGCATCTTCAGATTTACTCCATTTTCACAATTCATTTGTTACCCATAGTTTCTCAAATTGGGGCCTCCATGGAAACAGCCGTTTTACTCTTTGGATTGGGGTAGAGGTAAGGTCCCCAGGCCCCACCATCAAGTGGGATATACTGGGCTCTCGTTTAGTTTGGTTAGTTAATAAATTTTATCAAGTTTGTACCACCTCTCAACATAAGCCTAGACCAAGGACATAAATTTCTGCAGTTCCTTCATGACGGACAATCAAGTTCCCATACCGGCTAACTATGTTATATGGTGGCGAGCTTGATTAGAGATGCACAAGGGAAGGGCTTTTTGGGCCTAAGACCGGGCCTGGAAAAGCCCATTTTTAATGCTGCAAAAAATGCCCAGGCCGGGTCAGGCCGTGCTTTGGGGTCTGAAACTAGGCCTTATTCAGGAGTGGTGGGCCAGGCCAGGCTTTTTTCGGGCCTGGACCCGGCCTTGGTTATTTTTAAAGTTTAAATCTAAGGGTTTAACATATTAACTTCTAAAATAAATTTACAACGGGTCAAAAATAGAAAATTTACACATGCATGTTCATGATTTCTTGCAAGATTGAGAAAAATGCAAGCTATGAGGACAATTGTGCAATTTTTGTTTACAAAGCTTCAAAATCAAAGAAGGAAGAGAGCTACCAGGTTGTACTACACAAATAAGTCATAAATGGCTAATTAGGAATGGTTCTGGCCTCTTGCCCCTATCTACACAAGGGATGTTTAGGGATCAATTAGTTAAAATGGAAAACCCAAAGGTTTTAGAAAACCAACATTTACCATGTTTGGAAGTGTAAATGAAATTATCCAACTCTAATTATAAAAACAACTTTACAACTTAGAATTACAAAAACAAATTTACGGCTATGTAACCTATGTTTATCAGAGATTTTGGGCTTTGGCCTGGGCCAGGCTTCGGACCAAAAACCGTGCTTTATCTGGGCCTTTTCAGGCTGGGCCTAGGCCCGGGCTTGAGACAAAAAATCTGGCCTGATCAAGCTTTAGGGACTGGCCTGAGACCGGGCTTCGGGCTCACTAGAACCGGACTTTTTCGGACCAGGGCCTTTTATGCATCTCTACATTTGGTTATTACTCACAAGGATGAAAGAAACTAAGTGATAGCTAGGGGCGATAGTCTCTCCTTACCAGTGGCAAAAGTCGAATGTTCAAGTCTTGCCTCTTTTACCAATCAGATGGGCTGAAAACGTAAGCAATTTTTTACTTAAAACAGAGATGGATTGTCGGGAAAATCCATATGTAATAAAAGCTTACAAATTTAATTGAGCTTTGAGCATACTAAAACAATATGCAGATCTTTATTCAACTTCAGAAGTTTAAATAGCAAAAACTTGGGAGTATAAACTCAAACAGATATCAACAAATACAACTCGCACAATCTCATCCATACGTTCATTTTTTTCTAGAAATACTCAGGAACCACAACTGAGGGCACCCATTTCCCATTTATATTTATGTTCAATTTCTGCTAATACATTGTACCTACACTCCAGTTTGGGAAAAACTTTTTGTAAATTAGATAATACTCTATCCTCTTGTAGCATGAAGCACCATAGTAACTTCACTAAAGGTGTGTTCTATTTCTACAGAAAGAAGTATAAGACTATAACTTTACACACAACTTGAATGAAGAAATGGCAAAAGGATTTGTGTATGTTTCAGATATGGAGTTACTGCGAAGAAAATACCAAATTTTCTTGTTGAAGGTCAGTGTTGTTATCATTTCCCAACAAAGTTAAGATTCACATTAATTGTGAAGTTAAAATTTGGCTCGCTTGACATCAAAATTTCAAACTGCGGCTCTTTTCTTGTAACGGTTTTGAAACTTTCTTCTTACATAGCATTATGAGGTTCGACCACCATCAATCTGGGATTGAGCATTATTGTTTCAGACGCACCCAGAATATTCCAATACACCATACATCCCTCAGAAGACAATTTTCCCATTGCCACATAGTGGAATGAATTAAAACGATAAAAAAAGCCTCTGTTTCCGGTAGATACCAGCCTCATGTAGTTGACATTGGTCCAAAAACTATGGTTAGAGGCTTGAACAACAAAAAGGATGCTCTTGACTACAAGTGATCAGTGAATCCTAGAAAGAAATGTGATTCTTGTGACAGAAGTGCAAGCCAATCTCAGACTGAAACATGACACTATCGTGTCACTAAAATTGAAACTAAAAATGTGACATGAAACCAGTAGATAACAACACCAAACAAAGGACAGTGATGGATCATGGAGCTTCAGGGACTTCCTTAGGAGTTGGCTGGTGAGCTTGACTAGGGGAGAGTAACACAGCATGAATATTACCGCATGAACAATAATACAGCACCAACGACCAGATCTGCCTAATGAGTTAAACACAGATTTATTGAAAAAACTTGAAGCCAAATGCTAATAAATCATCATCTGCAGAAAGCTGATAGCCTCTGTACCTAATCCTTCCTGAATCATAGTCTCTAGATGTAACCAATGATAAATCCAGGTGCTCAGAAATTCGATTGTCAAAATGTCTCGCCGCCACCCGAAACCCAAAAGCCACCTGGTGAGACTCTTTGGACGAGGATAAATATTGAGAGGGATGGTGAGCAGTCCAAAAGAAGGGTATACTTGAATATTGGAGTAGCGAAAAGGACGTGCCGTAGCTGATCTGAAACCAAGTAGTTCTAGCCTACATCAATTACCAGATTAATCGAATAAACCATTTTACAACTTCCCTACTCCTTACTTTCATATATTTTTTGGTGACTTATCTTAAGCAAATCATCAGAATACTTGAACTGAGCTTCTCTGGACTAAGCAATTAATGGTACTGTTCCTATCATCCACCATAAGTTGTGTTTGTTCGCCAGTTATGTCTTCAATGGGCCACAACATGACCTAAACTCCACAGGCAGAAGAAAAATGTTCTGATCTTTTTTCTGGCAATGTTTCCTAAGTTTGACAACTCCATTCATCTTTTACATATCATGCTTAGGGTATCTATGTTGGATGATATTGAACAGGAAAAAATATGAGTCCCCACACACTATTAATTCATTATGTATTTAGCACTCACTGTGAGACCCTTTATGATGCCTCATAGGGCATAACGTACCCCAACATTCATGCCTATAGCTGCCAAGATCTGGAAATCTTCAATTGAAACCTATTAATAGCGGGGAGAAGTGTAAATATTATGGTTGAAGAACAACCAACCAAGAAAATAAGCCGATGGGAATGGCAATGATTCAATAACAGCCCACATTTCACATTAAGAATCAGATGCATACTGTTAAAGGCAAACCTACATTATGGTAAAAAAACTAAAGGAGTTGGAAGAGGGCAGTATTGAGCATATTCACTTGTGATGGGCCTTATGGGAATCACAAGACAGTGACACAGAACACTACAATGCAGGACCTTCTTCAGATAATTTGTGCTGTTATTGTAAATGATAGGTGATCTACATTACTGCATTACTCCATCAGTGACATAATATACCGTCTTAAGAGGAATAAGAAGTGGAATTCGAGCGATGAGCCAGATTTCAGGGTTTGGCTGAGGAAAGAGAGGGGGGTTAGATAACATTTGGCTTTAAAGTCGTCCACAGCATCTTGGCTACTGCTTATGGACCTATAACGCTCCACTAATGCAGTGTGCTATTAACGTAGCTTATAACTCTATATAGAATGACAGTACACTACATGTGGAGATAAAAGGTCTTTTTATTAAGAAGAGATGTACTGACCTCCATCTAGGGCGTCATTGGGAATCTGAAAATCCACTTAACATTCACATCTCACTACCTGTTTAGAGCAGATATAACCTGTATTCGGTAACATGTGTTCTAATGGTAAATGAATATGGATATGGTAATTTCATTTGATCAGTTTAATATCTGTTTCGATAACAGTCGGATATATCTGTTTACTTTTGGGTTTTTAATCCTTATTATTGATATTCCTATTTAACGTCTTTAATCATATCACATCAAATTATATATCAATTAAATTTTAAACCATCAAATTTCTTTATTATATATCAAATACTAGTAATGGGTAATCACATATGTAAACAATATGTCCGACAGATAGGTAACCGAAGCAGACATTAAACATATCAAATGCACAATTACCATATACATATCCATTTACCATTAGAACACATGTTATCACAGGTAACATCTGCTTTGGACAGACAGAGATGTGAATGTTAATTGGATTATCAAATATCTGATGACAGCCCTACTGGTAACTGTATTTCTTAAATCATGTGGATTTGATTGTATGTATTTAGTTAACTTTTTTTTACTGGAGTTAACTTTGGAACCTACACCAGGATCAGTCAAACAGATCAATCAATGTCCAAGACTATAGGCTGGAGCTATTACAAAGTATGAAAGCCATACCAGTCATAACATATTCAGGAGCAGCATAACCATAGGTACCCATAACCCTTGTTGATACATGTGTCTCATCCCCTTGTGGTCCAGCTTTTGCAAGACCAAAATCAGATAGCTTAGCTGTATAATCCTGCAGGTTCACAGTACTTATTATCCATCAAGAAACTGTTCAAAACATTAAAAATACAGAAGGAAGGGCTAAAGGAACTGAAGAGATGCATAATTCGGGAAGCCACTTACTGAGTCCAACAAAATGTTAGAAGTCTTGAAGTCCCTATATATTACAGGCCGTTCAGCATTGTGAAGAAAGGCAAGGCCTTTTGCGGCCCCAAGAGCAATCATCATTCTTGTTGACCATGATAATGGTGCACTTGTTTCTAAACACCTCAATAAAGCACTCCAATTAAGTTGAGAAAATAAAAAATCTATGCAAGAAGAGGTCATAGGTTACCATGGCTCTAGCATTATTTGACAAGCTTCAACTATTGAACAATGTCAAGAAGAACTATAAAAGCATTGGAACAATAACGGATTCATCAACATAGGACGACAAGTAAGATAGATAAGTCATACAATTTGATTTGTCTATGATGTAGTAGTGCATGTAATAAATAACATTTGAGGCTTCACATAGTGTGAAGTTGGCATTTCTACACACAAAATGATCTAACTAAACTAGGTGCTTTGTTACATAAAGACCCAATAGTTCCACAACCCTAATTTAGCCAAGATGCATACTTATAGTGATCTAACTAAACCAGGTGTTATGTTACATGAGCACCAATAGTTCAACAACCATAACTTGACTCCTAGTCCCCTACCACACCTGTTCTACCTTGACCATTTGTTAGTTACTACCCACAGGCGTCGACACTATCATCCTAAACCTTTTATAGTTGTAGATTCTATGCAGTGGGCAGTGTATAAGAAACCAGAAAACACTTGTATATCCAAAACTTCCTAAAAAGAGAACAAAAATGCTACACGACAAATAGTGAGCTTTGTTCTTGAGTTTTAGCAAAAAAAAGATACAGACCTCTACATGAACCCAAGCAAGAAATATAGGACAGCATGAGACAAGGAATCTATAAGTTACAACCATTAAAGCTGCATATATGATATACTGCTCTTTGAAGAGCCTTGACTGATAAACATGATGTAAGCGAATAAAAGATAGATAGCATGAGGTGCAGCATAGTTTTACCCTCAATTTTCTGACCATACAACATATATAAACCTTCTAACTTTCCAAGCCCGAATAGAGATCTGACATCCCAGAGATACGTATGACTGAACTACATGTCTACAATATGTGTACCACATATTGATTCAGGAGATTAAAGATTAAAAGAAAGAGATAATTTTTATCAAAGCATAATAGAAAAAGAGAAGGCACTCAGTAATGCATGAAACAAGAGGTGATTCCCCTCCCCCAGGATCCTTGCAATCTCCTTCCATTTTGGGTCTGGAACTCTCTTTTTCTGGTTTAAATAAGATAATACAATCACTAGAAAGGATAACCATTGACAAACATATAGTCATCAAACCTTTTGCCATCACAAGTTAAAGAAGGCTAGTTTTCCGTACCAATTTAGCACGGGGATATATACTGATAAATAAGATGGAGACTGAAGTGACAAATGAACAATCATATGTACACGAATTTGGCAACAAAATAGAGAAGTGCAGATACAGAGGATGAGAATCATTTGATTGTTTGATTAATCAATCAATTTAAGACGTGAGGCAATGAGAGATATGGCATACGGAACAAATGCTCATGGTAGATGTCAAAGAAGGTTGGGAAGAGAAGTTCTGATCAGATGTTAAAATAGGAAAGTGAGAAGAGTGAGAGCATAGGTGGGTGAAAGGTTAAAGCTACCATAATTGTGTTGGAATTACTATTCAATGAACTTTCTTTGGCTTTCAAGTTAATATATGGTATGGAATTGTGTTAAGAGAACATATATCCTTAACAGTATATGAGTTTTGGTTCAGAAATACCATATGCTATTTATTATCTTTAAGCGCTACTCTTAATCCTCTTGAAACTACAAACACAAACAAACATGTATAAAAAAAGAGCACAAAGAACTGGACGCTAACCGGTGCCGGGAAAAGCAGTTACATCATATGAAGGTAAAATCAGTAAGTGGCCCTGATGGCGCTAGAATCGGAAAGCAGTAGAAAACCGACAACGGTACATGATGACGGAAGGGGTATATGAACGCAGATAGTAATAGACTTTAATTTGATGACATTCATCCCACGTCTTTTACGCTCTGCCTTTGGGGGGGGTGGGCAAGATAGAATGGTAGTTGTGTGGTCGTAAAGGAAGCCTCAGAAAAAGATACAGGCGTAACAGATTTAATTTCTTAAGAGTTTTCAAGATAGAAAGATTAAATAATAACGGCAGTACTTGATGAAGAAAGGAAAAAATAAGGGCTGCAGTGCTCAATGACATAAGATGAAAATAAAGAATATCTGTGAGGACAGTGAAGATGAGAGCACAAAATTGCATAAAATTGGTTAGCCAATGCGGCTTTCAAATATCGAGGTCAATTTTATGGAGACCATTGAAAATATGGAGTTCTTTTATTCGTTGACAAAAAGACATTAGTGTAATATGATTAATTTTACTCCAAAGAGACAGAAAACTTTTCATATGATCAAAGCCATATTCACACAAGTAATCACATGCATTAGAGACCCAGCAATCCAAAGGCACATTAAAAATGGAAACAGAATCCAAAACTGTAGTTCTTTAAATGTGTTTATTGTTCTTCTGTGTATGTATTTTAATACAGAAACGTAACCACATCCCCCGCTAAGCCATCAAGAACCCTATTTCCTAAAATATTTACACAAATATGCAATAAGCTAAATCAGTAATTGCTTATCGTTTGTGTACTCTGGTCACACATATGACAAAAGCGTACCCATAATTCAAATAATAGTTTTGCAGATGTTTGTTAGGAATTTATGTACCATTAAGGAGTGACTTGTACCAAGAAAAAAACCATTAGGTTAAATGGTAAATCATGATTAAACTGTTAGAAGTGGAAAGAAAGACTGCACGGGTCGAATATAATTGAAGATAATGTCTTAGGTGCTAGAACAAAGTGAAAAAATGCAACTAGAAACATCCAAGCTCATCTAAGATAATTCTAGTTCCATCCCTCTCCCTCACTTACCATTGTTACTACACTAATAGTTGCAATATTGCTATCAAGAACGGATGTTATGATCATTGTAAGTTTTTGAGTTGGTATTACAACTACCGATGCTAGGAAGAAAGGAAGAATAACGTAAAGTAGTGAGAATTTAAAAGGTGCTAAGGACATTAAATAATGATGGAAAGAAGGTGCATACTTCGAAAGAGGTGATTTTCAAGGCTTCCTCGAAACATAAACTCATAAACAAGCAATCTGTGATCATCTTCACAGCAATATCCAATCAATTTCACCAAATTGGGATGCCTGAGCTGACCAAGAAAATTAACTTCGGTCTGGGACATGAAACACCATAATGCAGACATATTAATCAAAGTGGCTTTCGTCATTGCATACACAGAACCATTCAAGTGGATACATATACACACTAAATTAGCAATGAAGATTTATTGTTGTAAGGATAAAAGGGGCTTACAAGCCATTCTCTGTGTCCCTGAAGACCCTCCTTGTTGAGAACCTTAACAGCAACAGGCAGAGATTTGAGACCAACCCTGACATTCTCATCAATATAACCCTTGTAAACAGTCCCGAAGCCGCCCTCCCCGAGAATGTAGTCAGACCTAAAGCTCTTGGTAATGGTCTCAAGCTCAAACAACGTGAACGCAATGACATGAGTATACAGCAGCGAGTTATTTCTTAAATCTTCAATAACGTTGACATTGTTACGGGGTGTAGAAGGATCACTCAGATCCGAAATCGACCGACTATGCTTCTTCTCCAGACCCGAATGTTTACCAGATACCACTTGTAGCTGCTTAACTGTCCATTTTATATGCTAACATATTTAGTTGTTATTATAGAAAATGGTGATTGACTTGAAAACGAAGCAACAATCAAACACTAAGAGAGAAAAAAATGCACAATAATTGAGTATTACGCCAACTATGAAAAGGCGCCCTAGATCTGGAACTAAAACTGAAAAGTAAAGCAAAAGCAAAAGAAACCTTGATGATGAGCATCTGAAACAACAGCAGATTCTTCGCGAGTACCACAATTACCCATATTGTTTGAATGCAGCAACAGCAGTAGAAATGGATGAATGTATGGCTGATCGAATGGCGCAGTATCTCATTCTTCACCTGGACCTCCCTCCCTCCGTCCTTCCTCCTCCTCCTCCTCCACCTCCTCCGCCGCCGCCGCCGCCGCCGCCCAATCTACTTGTGCTTGGATTTCAGTAGTAGTTTTGTTGTATAGCGGAAGGTTAGATGTTTATTTGCAGGTGTGATTCCCGAAACGCAACACGGTGTCGGTCAGTCGCCCCCTGACTACAAAAAAGCTCACTCGCTTCCACCTTCTTCCTGACCCTCCTTCGTTATCATCGCCAAATTACATCTACACCCCTTCTCTCTCTCTCTCTCTTTCTCACAAAAATAAATAAATTACCATAAATCACCACACATTTTCAATTAATTTCCATTTATATAATATTTTAAAACACAACATTTAATGATCAGTATTTTATTAACTTATAAGGAAAAAAGTGACCTAAATTTATGTTCAACCTTGATGATTTAATTTATAGTTACTTAAAAATCTTATATTTGGTATTTCTTTAAATAAATATTTTATTTTAGATATAATAAAATTATTTCAGATCGAATATATTTTAGATACATCATATACCAGACAAAATTAAATATACTTAAAATATTATTAATCAATTTTTATTTGAAATTGTTTCAAAATAAAAACAATAACTTTTTGTATGATAAAAAAAACCCTTTAATATTAGATATCATAGAAAATTAATCATATTTTACGAAATATAAAGTTGACAAATTTTGGTGCCCAAATTGGGTGGGAAATAAAGGGAAAAAAAACAGTTTTATGTTTGGTATGTTATGGGATAAAAATTAGATGAGATATTATTGAATAAAAACTAATTTTCATGGAATAGAAGTTTAAGAATTTTTGTTCCACAACTTGAGAAATGCTAAGATTACTATATTACCCTCTTTACAACATCGGACACCTAAGATCTAAAGTAAAATAGCATCGCCTCCATCCTAAATCAAACACACGAGTTTCTTCCAAACTATCATCGATTCTTCATCTCTCCACATCTTTGATCTCGATTTCTTCCAAACTATTGATTCTTCACCGCATCCACACCTTCGATCTTGATTTCTTCCAGGTACGATTTGTTGGACTTCAATCTATAGATTTCTTTCAAATACAATTTCTTCCAACCATAGTCTTCAATCTCTCGATTTCCATGGTTGAAGACATCGATTTCTTGATTTCCAATAATGGTCTTCGATTTATGGATTTTCATGGTTCTATACATCTATTTTCATAATCTCCATGGTTCAAAGATTTGTTTAACCATGGTTCTTTTGATACTTAACCATTGGACCATGGTTTTTGTTTTTCGTGCTACTTTGACTTTTGTTTTCAAGAGTACATATGATGCTAATGTCATTTTTGTTTTCCATGATTTTTTGTTTCTATTTCGTTACTGAATATATGATGTTTATATTGAAATAGCATTTAAGGACAATCTCGTCATTTTAATAGTTTTGACTTGTCATGTCCAGCTTACCAAACGTAAAACAGATAATTAGTACAGTCTTGTTTAAGTTGTACCAAACATGGGACAGACAATTAATCTTATCCCGTTATGTCAAATCATATCGTGTCTCATCCGATCTGCATACCAAACGCTACCAAATAGAACAAAAATATTCTAATATTTTCTCATAGGGTTAATAAAGAAAGACCCAATTATCAAGAAAAAGAATTTCTGTAAATATTTGTTTTATTTAAAACTATTTATTACACTTTTAAAGTAGAGTTTATACTTTTTCTAACACGTGGCTTAAAATCTGGTTATCGATAACCTGTTAAATTGGTCACCTACTTATCTTTATTGTTTACGTATACCCTTAAACATTTCTTTTGAAACATGTTTTCAAAAGGAAAATTACCAATTTCAAAACCGTTATAGGTTACCAAAAATGATTTTGACCTCTTCGCACTTGCTTAAATTCAACTATAATGTCATCCCGCCATCTATTGATACTTTAATGGCGTGTTTGTCAAGCCCTATTTATGAGACATAATTACTATACAACTTATGCATCAATCATAGAAAACTACGTCAAGATCTTACCTTTCCTATTTTGTACTTTCTTTGCATTGCAAGAATTTTGCCCAGACTTGACGAGGCATAGACATTTCTTTCGACTTTGAAGCATTTTACGACTTTTTTTTTATGATCAGGACGTCACTAGATGAAGTGTCAAGTAGATAGTAGATAGATTAGATCTCGATATGGTTGTTTGTTTCGTTGTAATAAATTATTGTCATCACTTTATAGCTACTTACTCCTATAAATCGTGACTATACGTCATGCACTATGAACTCTATCTGTAAATTTTGTCTAAAATGACTTGTCAACTTCTTGTAATCGAATATGAAATGTATGCCTATGTCCAATGATGACAAACCACCATATGTCTATTAAGTACAAAAGGGGTGTAATCACATGTACACTTGTTATGACCATGTTTTCTTGCTATGTTGTGTTCTTTCTTAGTGTCTCAAGTGCATGTCTACAAGCATATGGACAAAATATTTTCATGTTGTAAACTATGTCTCGTGCTATAAAACTTCAAGATTGTATATTTATTCATACAATATATATACATATATAAAACTATGCATGTGTTTCGTACTATATTATGCTATATAATTATTGAAAGAAGTTGTAGCGTATTTTTACTGTATTAAGCTATTTAACTTTTACGGAAACCTTTAAATACTTATTTATAGAATATTGTGTTTTAGAATGTATCAACTTAGCGGAAATGTTTGAATCGAGTAGCTCATTCTCTCAAATCATGTATCGTCATTGATTGTATTGCAGTCTTCAATGTCAATACCAATATCATGGAATCTTTCGTCAACAGTGACATCCCATATCCATCATTGTCCCTAATGAAAAAAATCTCTTTTCCCACGGATCCTAGCAACTACTATCACTAGATCAATGCTAACATCAAGTGCCAAATCACCATAAAGTTTCCATTGCTTCTGAGGATGTGTCATAGAGACGTCCAGAAGTCACGTTAACTACTAGTTGTTAAATGTCATTTCCATTGTGCGTGGACTTTTATATCTTAATTCTTAAACACACTATGTTGATATCAAACTCTTTTTGAACCTCAAAACAAATGCGAACATAAAATACATTGTGAATGACCTTCATGGTTAAAATATACAAAAGTGAAACTCTAAAAAGCAGCTACAAACTCTTAGGGAGAGAGATGAGTGTGAGAGGTGAGAGGTGAGAGGTGAGAGGTGATGTTGAAAAATAATTCTAGTAAGATAGATGAAACAAATAAAATTTTAAACTTTATAAAAGTTTTAAATCTTTAACGAAAAGTTAAAATTTTTAATATCAAAGATAATAACTTTTTGTGTTCAGAACTCACAACACCTCAACAGATTGTCAATTCACACAGATTGAATCTATCATTCACGATACATTCAATGAAAGAAAGGAGTAAAAGCAAAGTTGTTCACTTAGTGAACAGAAATTAAATACAATGCACTAAATATAAAACCAACCTGATTAAACTGTCGATGAATTGTAATCTGCATGGAAAAATCTGTCCTTTAAGGTTTTATACGACAACTCTTTTCTCGTTGTGAGTCTGCTAGTCGCAAAGCCCCAGGATTTGATGCAGCATACGTTTCATTTATGAACAGCGATCAACACGAAAATAGAGCACGGTGGATGCAGAAATTGGTAGAGAGAAAAGAATGTTCGGAAGCAACGATCGCATGAAGAAAAGAACTGATTTTTTCCGTATTCATAGAGACGGCTTCAACCCAGTATATATATTGGGTGAAACCCTAAAACCTCCCACGAAATAATCCCCAGATATCGCTTGATAAAGATGGAGGATTTTTCTCCATTGAGCATTATCTCTAAACGTGGTTAGACTAAGTCAAAAAACCGAATTTTAAAAATCAGTTATTTTCCTTCTCCTCTTGACTTTGTACCAAAAACATACTTTGCGTGAAAAGTGCAAAGTGCGCCTCATCGCGCCACTTTCGCGAATCCCATGCCCGCGCTCGCGCCCTAGGCCATGGCTACGTGCGCCCGTGTGTCTTGGGACTTCTACTCAAGACCCCCACCGTGAGTCCAACAACTTGTTCAAAGCCCAATTCTAGAGAAATTCTTATAAGCTTCTCTAGAAATTCTTTATCTACGAATATGGGATGAAAGACAAACTTCCAACCCACAAAATTTCCAACAATCCCCCACCAGGTTGGAAAGTTTTCTGACATTCATAATAGATAATATTACAGTGGTGTCACTAAGATTAAACCCTGTTTAATGTAAGTATGAAAGAAGGGATCAATCCAATGGTATCCTTAGGATTTAAACATTAAATCTTACGACCACTTCGGCTTACTTACACACATCATCTATCAACCTTGCTCTCTCATTAAGCGTTAATATGGCCATGCGCTAAACCCTGTTTCATGACTTACTAAAATAGAAACCACTACTCTTCGTTTAAGGCGGCACCACCTCTAAGTCATATAGGCAAAGTTCTATAACATCTTCGTTGTTAAGATGCCTCTAAACTTTGTTAAGAGATTGACTCATCCTTGTTCTCGACAACGCGGCACTATCTTTCACCTTACATGGATCTATCATTTGATAGTACCTTCTATCAGTCAAGTGACTTATTGTTACCCTTTAAACTTGGTAGATAGAAGCACTATATCCAAGTTGGGTTTCCATCACTAACTGATTCTACGTGGTTTCAGACCCATGTCTCTGGTTGTTGACCCTACCAAGTCTCTCGTCAGAGGCTTGGCGTGCGAAGTGCAAAGTGCACATCCTCGCACCACTTTCGCGAATCCCACACTCGCTCCCTCGGCCTTGGCCTCAGCCATGACCACGCGTGCGTGTGTGTGTGTTGGGCCTTCCACTCAAGACCCCCACTATGAGTCCAACAATTTTTTCAAGCCCAATTCTAGAGAAAGCCTTATAAGCTTTTCTAGAAATTCTTTGTCTACAAATGTAAGATGGAAGACAAACTTCCAAC